GAGATTCATTCGGCCACATACTTGAAGGAAGCTTGAGCCACTCGGGGCCTCGCCACCACAGTGAGCTCTCCGCGAACGAGGAAGCGGTGACTCCACTGGATGCTAGATCCGCGGGACTCTGATGAGTCGGAACATGATGCCACGTGGCATCAGGTATTAGAGTTTGCACATCGTGCACTCGATGCGCGACAAACGTTTTCCATCGAGATGGAGATTGGCGTAGCTAAGAGAGAGTGACGGTTGAATCCGTCCAGCAATGACATGGAATTGTCGAAAATTCTAATGTCGTTCGGGCAAACGACATTGTTCGTGCTAAAAGCGCAGCAGCGCATAGTTCGAGTCTTGGAATTGTCAAGGGCTTAAGAGGCGCGACTTTGGATTTTGCTATTAATAGCGAAATAGTAACTGATCCCATGAGCGAGATCACTTTAAGATATATGACAGCGGCGTATGCGACGGACGATGCGTCAGCGAAGCCGTGAAGCTCACAGTGACTTGTGTCGGAACCGAAGGCAGTCCATCGTGGCAAAGAGATATTACGCAGTTTAATTAGCTGCGTGTGATAATTGTTCCATTTTTGCATGAGAGGGGGTGGAATTGGATCATCCCACGAACACTTAGTAGCCCATAATTGTTGCATGATAATTTTAGCAGTAATTATGACCGGAGCAAGCCACCCGAGCGGGTCAAATAATTTTGCTATAGTAGACAGAATTTTCCGTTTAGAATCTGGGATCGACGTGGTAACTTCGACTGAGAATTGAAATGTATCGGTAGCAGGGAGCCACGTGACGCCTAAGACTTTGAAACTTTCGTCGCTTTGCAGAATTTTGCCTTGACTGAGACTCTTTTCATTGACCGGTAGGTCGTTGAGTAACGTAGGGCAGTTGCTTGCCCACTTACGGAGGAGGAATCCACCTTTTTGTAACAATGAAATTAATTGATTGCGGATTTGCCTTGCAAGCGGCTTGTCATCCGCGCCGAAGATGCAATCATCTACATAGATTTGATTGCGTAAAACTGATTGAGCAAGAGGAAATTGAGCGCCTTCGTCTTGCGTCAATTGCTGAATCGTGCGAAGAGCGAGGTATGGAGCACACGCCATACCGTAAGTAACAGTAAGCAAGCGGTAGTCTTGCACCGCTTCGGATGATGAAGAGCGCCATAAGATGCGCTGATAGTCTTGATCGCGCGGATCGACTTGAATCTGCCTATACATTTTTGCGATATCGGCAGTGAAAACATAACGATGTTGTCGCCATCGAAGAATTACCGAACGAAGGTCGGTTTGTAACTTAGGACCGATCATGAGATGATCGTTAAGTGAAGAGCCGTTCGATGTCGACTGAGATGCATTGAACACGACGCGCAACCGCGTGGTGCTGCTATGCTCGCGAATCACCGCATGATGCGGGATGTAAACTGATTGTGAAGCAGAGACGGGTTCGTCTACTTTCTTCATATGACCGAGATTTTCGTATTCCAGTAGGAACTCTCGATATTCGGATGCGATATCCCTTTTATTTTGAAGACGGCCTTCAAGCCGTGAAAGAAGTGATGAGGCGATGTGACGAGATTCGCCTATTGCAATCGGAGGATTGGCTTTGAACGGTAGCCGTACGACGTACCGTCCATTCGAGTCACGAGAATGAGTTGCTCGGAAATGTTCCTCACAACGTTGTTCCTCAGGAGTGAGGTATGATACTTGCGGAAGTTCTTCGACTTCCCAGAACTGACGAATTTCGTCATCGAGATTGTCGTGCAACGTGGTATGATTAACTGTCACGTTAGACATGTTTGAAGACGAACTCGTCGAAATCGGACCAGACATGATCCAGCCGAAAATGGAATTCTGTGCTGTTGGCTGATTAGAGGAACCTGAGCACAGGCCCGGTAACAGAACAGCACCGTATAGATCAGCGCCGATGATCATTTCGATCGGATCGGCACTTGAGGGCTGCGGATCAGCCCATGGCAGGCCGCTTAAATGAGCGAGAGAGATTTGATATGCTATTTTAGGCGGCGTGTATTTAGTCAGAGAGCGCATAATAATTGCGGTCGTTGAGTATGACGGACCCTGGCCGGTCTTATATGATACCGAAATAAGAGCAGCATGTCGTGCGACGGATTGCGTTTCACCGATTCCGGTAACCGAGACAGCAACGTGTATTCGCGATAACCGTAGCCGTTGAGCGAGATTTTCACTAATTAAACTAGTGACAGATCCTTGATCTAACAATGCGCGTATGACGTCGGTGCGACCAGACGAAGAACACACCTGAATCCGCGCGGTAGCTAATAGAACACGAGATTTGTCAAATGTTGTTTTCGTAATTAAATGTGAAACGACATTGTTTTCATTTGACGTATTCGTTTCGTTGGATTCAAGGGAATTCTCGATCGCGCTTGATGTCGTCGCTTCGTGAAGCATCGTATGATGCCTTTGTTGGCATTGACGACAGTTATGTTTACTCGGACATGTGTTCGCGAAATGTCGAGCGCTTAAACAGTTGAGACATCGTTTAAATTTGACAATAAGATCGCGACGCTCGTTAACCTGTTTCTTCTTGAAATCAGGACATACTGACAAGAGATGATCTTGTTTACAAAGCGGACAGTGAGCTCCGGTTGCGGTCGTCGTGTGACTTTGCACGGACGACTTGCTCGGTTTTGTTTTGACTGTACTGGTCGTTGGAATATTCTCGAACGCTCGAATTCGCGATGCGAGAAAGTTATGAAGATCCG